CCAACAGATTGAGCTTAAAATTATATACAATAAGGATTATTTGTAATGTTGTCTGTTACAGTTGTTACAGCATCAGTTGAGAGTGCCATGTTCCGTGGTCCAATGGAATGTGCCCGCTATATCTGTCGGACAGAGGGCCCACATGGGCTGTACAAGGGCGCAGGGCTAACTTTGTGTCGAGATATTCCGTGTTTTGGTGTGTATGGTCTCACCTACATGTTAATAAGTGGACAGATGAAGGAGAGGGGCTGGTGTGACTCCCGGGGCATTGTAGCTGACCTGTTGGGAGGAGGGCTGGCAGGTGTGGCCGCATGGCTATCGGTTATGCCGGTGGATGTAGTGAAAAGTCGATACCAGGCTGACTACCGAGGAGAGTTCAGTGGCTATGTTAACTGTGCACTACAGAGTTACAGAGAGGAGGGACTTCGGGTGTTCTACAGAGGCAGTATGGCCATCTGTCTCCGTAGCTTCTCCTCGAATGCTGTCGAGTTCATGGTCTACGCACAACTTATGCGTTATTTTCAAGGCTCAGGTCATTACTCTGAAGACTAGTTGTCTTAGATTCACAAACAAACTTTAAACTCATTTCAGTAACTTATTAAACATCCAATTGCTATTTTGGTAATTTGGTAGAGAGTGTGACTTAATTATTGTAATATATATTCCAATGTCGCCTTTGATATTGATATTTGATACAAACATCATAACTGTTGATTTGTTCCTTTATATCCTTGCCAGTTGTGCATTATGTAATTAGACGTTTACACAGCTTTATGAAACTTAATCAATTGTTTAAATGCATGCTGTAGTGTTTGTATAATTTACCCGTGTTCATTTTAAGAGAGAAATTGTGTTGTTATATATATATATACATGTAATATACAGATACTAGTCTCCTTTATTTTTTCATATTTATTTTGAATTTTACATTTGATATTAATCGACAGATTGGTCATATTATGTTGATATTAACATACTGTGATATTGAAACTTTCAGGTCTGACGATGTACTTCCTAAATTATCCATTATATAAATGCTGTAAATAAGGTCATTAAAATTTGTTCCTTTTGAAAAAAATTGAATTCCTGTCTCAATATTATTATTGTATACAATTATACATACAGTGTATAACATAATCATCAACGTTAGAGCAGTATGACTGAAGCACTTCTGGCCAAGAAATCCACCTTTCTACCTTCCTGTGTAAGAAGGTATGTGTTTGTTTGTGCTATACCATGTGTAGGTGTTAAGTTGTAGGGGTCAGTATTCCCATTTAAGCACATAAACTGTTATACTTCCACTCAGACCATATGATGCTCAACTCGAGGCAAGTGGAGTTCATTAACACCAGTCAAGTGTTCTGTATCCAAAGCTAGCTTGATGTTAAACGGCTGGCATATTCTCAACTGTGCTACATCTATATGGCCCTAAACATTGATTGCCAAATTGTTGTGTACATGTACGGTAGTGTTGGCTGCACTTCCGTGTCTTACATAAACTAATGACCATCTGGAAATTAAAACAGGAAAAAACAATTTATTCTCTATTTTGAAATGTCTCAAATAACATTGGTTTCATAAGCTATCAACTTGAATATCAGCATGGCGTTATAGGTGCAGTACAATGTTTTTCGGTCACATGAGCAAAAATAATGACACCATATGGATCGGGGCGAGGGGAAATATTAATTTTGAAAATTAAACAGGCTATACCCAAAGAGTGAATAGACATTTAATATGGCATATCGTAAGCTTTTCTAACAACCCTAAAATTAATGTCAAACTTGAATCGTGTTATGAAAAAAATATTGTATTGAAAATATCATAAACGATGTCATATTTCTTAAGAGATAACACTTAACATCATTTAGTGAAATACGGTATCCACAAAAGCTTCTTGAATATAACCCCAATGTATCAACACAATGACTAAAATTCAGAACAGATATAGAACCTCATAGAAATTGGAGACAAAACTAGGATAACGAGTTTCCTGCAACACATCCATCATGTCTCCTCTAATTAAGAAAAGTATGTTGGTCACCACAAAAATAAAAAATAAACATGTCGACATCTCAGATGGAAAATTAGGTCCCAGCGATATTTCAAACATAAATCTCGGAATTATCTTGACCATAATGAGCTCATCAAAGACTCAAGCGGTGACTTGAATAATTCGTGTAAGACTTCGGAAAAATAAGCTTCCTCAACACACCATTGTAAGATACAGTGAATGCAGCTTCAAAATGAATAATTTTGGTTATCAATTACTCTATCTTTTCTAACAGTGCAACATCGATATGGCGATAAAAATTAAGTGAGGAAAACATGCAGCAATGCAATAGCAAGGGTCGTCTGATTTTATCTTATCGTTTTAAAGTCATTTCCAATTTTAAGATAAGTGACGCCAACGCAATATAATCTACATCATTGTTAAAAAATTAAAAGTTTAAAACATAAAAACACTACTAGCAAATGCGCGCTATTTAATGAGTTTTATGACAACAGAACAATAACGAAGGTATATTAAAAATTAAATAAATGAACTTTAGTTTGTCCAATAAACCAACTGAAAGATTGTATATCTGGGGTGATAAGTTACATCACTTTATTTATCAATAGTCATTCGATGCTTCTCAGCCACTGAGTCACCTGGGCGTACACCATAAAGGAAACTGCGCATACCGGAAATGCTCGTACGCACGTGACAATACAACCTCTATAGAAGACGCCTAAACCTTCTGTTCGGTAGCTTTGTATAGCACAGTCAACGGGACTCTTGTACCTGCCCTGAAAGTCAGCCTGGTAACGACTTTTTATGACGTCAAACGGTATCACAAAAATCCAAGATATACTTCCGGCAAATCCACCACCGATAAAATCCGCAAAAAATCCACGTGAATCTGTAAATTTCTTCTGTTTGATGAAGTCACTGAGGCATTCATATATTAAGCCGTAAAACCCAAAGAAAATAACTTCTCTAGGGAGCGTTGCTGTGGTTCCTTTAAACAGTCCTGTTATTCCCTTGGTCCTTAAAATGGTGCGTGCGCAGTCTGTTGGGCCACGGAAGTAGAGGATGTCGGCTGTACTCAAACCTGTATCAGAAAGGACGACTGGAAACTTGTCTTCATTTTATGTCATTGATAATGACCGTTAGGACATCAAATTATTGACCAATTATCAAGTATTTTCATGATTATCAACGTACTATCACGCAAATTATCACGTACCAAAAGACAATAAAGTCACCCCTCTTTGACTAATGGGCTATCAATTAAGTCAATCTCCATTAATCAAAAGAGCGTCTGTATAGGTAACAACAGTGTGCTAATGTAGGCGATATCGCCTTGACCTTAGTTAAATAGATTTTATTTATATATGTCCTACCTTTGACATTCGTTACGGAACTATGTGATTTTAGTTACATAATTTTCTCTGATTGATGTTCTACCTTTAACTCTTGTAACAGATCTATCTCAAATATATGTCTTACATTTGACAGTAGTTACAGAAATATCTCTAATACACAATGTAATATCTAACTTTAACCTCAATCATACATTTATCTATAATGATATAAAAACCTGTTTTGACTTTTGTTACAGAATTGCCTCTAAGCATTCTCCTTCTTTTGATTTCATATACCCAGGCAAGTGTATGTGTGTGTTTCTCTCGATTGCAATCGGATGTTGTCTTTTGTATTTCAGATGGCATTTCTCAGCCGATACTTACCTTTGATCTTAGCTGTAGACTTGTCTCCAAGCGTGGGAATTTGTGCCTGTAGAACCACTTTAATATAATCAATTGGAATGACCGGAAGTGCCTGGACCGTCCCGGCCACACTTCCGGCTAGAACTATTTTTCCATGAGCTGACTTCTGTTTTGCCTTGTCCGGTTCCAGAAATGTCAGCGTATTGCCATAAACACCATAAAATACTGACGTGGTAAAACCAGTGGATAAGAGTGGCCATGACAGTCCCCGGTAAAATCCTCCAATCTGGCAAAGCAGAACAACAATATCAGCCTTGCAACACAGAACAGAAATGTCCTTCAGACTAGCAACAAAGAGCAAAAAGGTGCAGCTAATCTACACAGGACAACAAATTCCTCCTTACGTGAACACGATTTCTTTCTGCGAAGCAAAGCGAATATAATCTGCAGTTATCCAAAGATATTGATGGTCTGCGACCAACAGTAACACTAAATGAGGAAAAACGATAGAAGAGGAAAGACCTTGGGATAATTGTCGAAAATAGATTAAGTTTTAAAATCAAAAACAAAAACAAGCCGCCGTAAACAAAGCAAACCGAATACTTTGAGCTGTCAGAAGAACATATACAAACTTGGATAATACATCATTCTGCCTACTGTATCAAGCTTTAGTTCGATCCCATCGAGAGTATGGAGTGTGTGTATGGAAACCATACAAACAACGGGATATTGACCTCCTAAAAAGTGTCCAACGGAGAGCTACTAAATTACTGCCAAGAATGGAGGATGTTTCTTATGAGGAAGTATTGTGTCATCTTACATAATTGGTCCACAGATGTGATAAGGGAGACATGATAGAGGTGACCAAGATATTGAGGGTTCGCTATGATACAACAGCATCACATGAACGTTTGTCAATAAAACAAGATAAAAAGGACTCGAGGACAGTCACCGAGCCTATGTAAATCAAGGAGCAGACGTGAAGTGAGGAAATACTCATTTACTCAACGAATTGTAAGCAACTGGAATTCCCTACCTGAGAACGTGATTCAAGCACCAAATCTA